TTGTTATAACCCAATTAAACCTCTTTCTTCTATGGTTAGTGCTTAAAAAAAAATTGCATAGAAGAAGGACACATACTTTCTCTAAAATCTTTATCTTTTGCATTTAGATCTCCCATTCATCTCGAATTGATTTTTGTATGGTATCAAATAAGGTCAGCATATTTTTTCCCCACATGGATGTCCAGTTAACCTGGCATTTACTGAACAGACAATTCATTCCCCACTGAACTACAATGTTGCCTTTGTCATGTATGCATGGTTGTTTTGGGATGCTCTTTTCCATTGGTCAATTTGACCATTCTTGTGCCAATATCGAACTTTTTTAATTACTCTAACTTTATAATAGGTCTTGGTATCTGATAGCATAAAACCCTTAAGCTTTATTTTCCTTCAAGATTGCTTTGGCTATTCTTGGTAGGTTGTGGTTCTGAATAATTTTAGAATCAGCTGTCAATTTCAAAGCCAGTCAGAGAAAGACAAATACCATATGATTTTACTCTTGTGTGGAATCTAATGAACAAACTGAGCTAACAAGTAAAATGGAGACAGACTCGTACATAGAGAGAAGGCAGACAGCTCTGGGGAGAGTGGGTGAGGGAGGAGGTGGAGGGACACAGCAAAACGGAATCAGACACAGTGTTCTAATTACGAGGGGAAGGGGTGGGCAGAGGTGGAAGAGAGTATATTGGGGGTAAATGGTATGGAAAAAATACCATAAAAATAAATAAACAGAGGGGAAGGTTAGGGGGTGGAGGGATAGAGCAAAAAGGAGAAAGGAGCCCTGGCTGGTGTAGCTCAGTGGATTGAGCGCAGGCCTGTGAACCAAAGGAACAGTTCGATTCCCCGTCAGGGCACATGCCTGGGTTGCAGGCCAGTTCCTGCAACCCAGCAGGGGATGCACGAAAGGCAACCATACACTGATATTTCTCTCCCTCTCTCCTTCCCTTCCCCTCTAAAGATAAATAAATAAAATCTTAAAAAAAAAAGGAGAAAGGACTCATGCACATGGACAACAGTGTAGAGACTGCAGAAGGGAGGGGAGTAGAAGGGGGTTAAATGGTAATAGAAAAATAAAATGAAAATTTTAAAAAATGAACAAACAAATAAATAAAACCTACTGATATTCTGATTGGGCTTGTTTTAAATCTACAGATTAACTTGAGGGACCTGACATCTTTACAATACAATAATGATCATGAAATCCAAGAACATTTTTATTGCTTCCTTCTAAATGAGTTAGGCGGCTTCCCATCTCTTTCTGTATCTTGAGGTACAAATATCCAACAAAGGACTTACATCTAGCATATAAAGAACTCCTTCAAATCAGTAAGAAAAAGAGATAACTCAACAGAGAAATATGAAAAACAAACAAACCCCCCAAACATTTGAATTGGCTTCACAAAAGTACATATAGAATGGGTTCATAAACAAGTAAAAAGACTCAATTCCCTGGGAAGATGCTCTCCCTTTGTACATATCCACCACAATGATAGAAAGATTGACATTAGCCAGTGTTGGTGAAAATGTAGAGCAACTGGACCTCTCAAACACTGCTGGCAGGAGTATAAACTGATACAATCACGTTAGAATAACGTTTGGGAGTATCTACAAAAGGTGAACTGTGCATTTACTGTAACTCAGCAATTGCAATTCTAAGTATATGAGACCTGTCTTGAAAAGAGTCCAGCCATAGTTAATATAACAAGAACAGTTTGCATGACACCCATGTAACCTGGCAGCCAAGGAGAGTGGACTGAAATGCACACATGTGAACAATGACAACTTCACTGTACTACTCAGTGGGGGCAGTAGATGCAGTTGAGTGAGCATGTGTGCTGTGTGGCTGTCTCATTCAAAATGGCTGAGCAAGTAGAGCAGTGAATCTGCATCAAATTTTGCATGAAGCTTGAACATTCCTCCATGGAAACTATTCAGATGATTCAGAAGGCTGCAGCTATTGGGCATCTGGTGATTGGCAGTTTCATCATGACAATGCACCAACTCATGCATCATGTATCATGCAGACTTTTTTTTTGAAACATCAAATCACCCAGGTGATTCAGCCTCCCTGCAGCTTCTGGCTTTTCTCAAAACTAAAATCACTTTTGAAAGAGAAGAGATTTCAGACTGTTGTTGAGATTCTGGAAAATACAACAGGGCAGCTGATGGCAATTGGGAGAACTGTGTGAGGTCCCAAGGTGCCTACTTTGAAGGGGACTGAGCTGTCATTTGCCCTGTGTACAATGTTTCTTGTATCTTGTATGTTCTTCAATTAATGTTTCTAATTTCTATATTATAGGGCTGGGTACCTTCTGGACAGACTTTGTAGATCCAACAGAAATATGTTCAACAAAACACACACACTAAAAGGTTCACAACAGCACTACTCACAATAGTCTCAAACTGGGAACTACCCAAAGACCATCAACAGAATGGATTTAAAAAACTGACATATTTTCACATTGCTATAAAGAAAAAAATGCTCACATAACAAAATAGATCAGGAGCTCCAGTGGCGCAATCAGCGCGTGGTACTTATAAAACAATATAGATCTAACAAGCAAACAAAACCAGAGAGAAAAAAAAACAGACAAAGAAAGGGCATATACAAGTGCAATTTCACAATGTATACACTATAAAAATACAGAAAACTAATCTAAGTTAGTTATTATAATACTGGTTATCCTTGGGGTGGGAAGAAGTGACTGACAGCAAGATATAGCTTCTAATATACTGGTGATGTTCAGTTTCTTGATCTGGGTGCTTGTTATATGGGTGTGTTCACATGTGAAAATTCATCAGCATTTATGATTTGAAGACTTTTCTTATGAATATTATGCTGCCATAAAATTTAATGTGTTCATATGAAAATAATCAAATAGCAAGCTGAAAATTTTTCTATATATAACATTTGAAAACCTCATGCAAATCAATTTTTAAGAAGCTAGTAGTATCCAGTTGAAAAGTGGTTCTAAATACAAAAAGAAATGTCTAAGCAGAGAAATAAAAATGGCTTCAATAGATGCATAAAATGTAAATTAGAACAATGGCATGCTATTTTTTTCTCACAAATTAGCAAAGATTAAAGGAAACAAGAAGGCTGCTGAGGATTTGGTGAAACTAATATGCTTATTTCTAATGGAAACTTAAGCTGATACAACATTTCCACATTAAGTCTTTAAAAATTGCTCATCTTTTCACTCACTAGTTTCCCTTCTAGAAATTAATCTAAGAAAAATTCATAGTTATAATTAAAGACAGACTATGTCATTATTGATTATAATATTTTGAAATATAATCATACCATAATGGGAAAATGGTTACATTATGATACATATACTGATGTAATATATATTGTTTTCAAAGAGTAATGAATAAGAAAAGACTCATGATAAATTTAAATTAAAAATACATACAAAATTCTATGATATCTTTTGTGTTAGAAAATATCACACACTTAAACATACACTTGCATGGAAAAAAGTCAAAGAACACATACTATAATGTTAATAATGGCAGTCTGTGGATAATGGATGATTTTAATTTTGTGGCCTATTTCCTACAATGAAATATACCTTGAACATTTATTATCATTACAATCAGAAATCTAAGAAAACAGGGTAGAAAAATAACATCCACCCAGTTTTTTTCTAGAAATCTAAGCAACCTAGATTTTTATCTCTCCTTTAGTTCTCACATTCAATCTGTACCTGTTTCTTCGAAGTATCTGTCCAGGCCATTACAATATTCCATTATTGCTTCTCTCATTTCCAAAATTCAGGCTCTTGTTTTCCCTAGAGAGCACTTTGAATCCAGACTCTTCATTTTGGTAATTTTGCCCTATCTTCCATTACTTCTACATTCCAGCCACATCAAACCACTTTATGTAGCGACCCTCCCGAACTCACACCCCTGAAAAATCCACATCAGGTACTTTCGCACCTCCCAACCTTGGCATATTCTCTTTTCTCTCCCTGTACTGCATTTTCTCCCTTCAATCTATGTAATCAGATCCACAGTTCAAGATTCACGTCCAACAGCACTGACCGGGCGTAGGAAACTGAGGCTACAAGAACAGGTAGCTGTTTCCAAATCAATCCTCCAGTGACAGTCTGCACATATTTCAACACTTACCATTCTATTCTGTTTAAGCCCAGCTCTCCCTTTGCAGAGAATGGACCATATGTTTTAAAAAATTTCTTAAAATCTAGTTGAATGTGTAAAGGTAAATAAACAATGTATCTATGTAGGGGTGGTGAGTTTTCACCTGTGTCTGATAAATCAATGACAATTAAAAAAGACTCGCCCTTTTTTTTTTTCGTTCAAGATGGCAGAGAACGTCTTAAAATAGCCCCACACAAAAGCACACACACCCGGAGCCGCATGCCAGAACTGGCTACACTAAGCGCAATAGAAAAGGACAAAAGAATTTAACCTAGATGCTCAGATGTCCCAGCCTCGATCACTCACAGTGGGTCCCACACACTTATTTTAAACCACGTTAGAAAGCTAGCACCTGCTGTCTTTATTTTGAGGGCGACACCTCGACCAGGATCAGAGACCTAAAGCACTCATAGATAAAGACCCAAAAAATCAAGGACGGAAAAGGAGGAGACTAATTTGTATTGGTGAGTATCCAAAATGCACACTTGAGCCCCGCCCCAGCCAGGGGCAGTCCCGCATAAGCGTTCTCGGTCTCCAGGGAAGGAACGGGCAGGGCTCCGGTGCACCCGCCCGACTGGGAATTCTGGGCCGGCCTGAGGTTGAGGCTGGGGCTGAGGTTGAGGCTGAGGCTGAAGCCGGCTGCGGAGAGGGCGTCTCGTACTACACCTGTCAGGCTGCCGCCAAGACTAGGCCCAGAAATCGCCGAGATTCGGTGACTGAGGGCGGCAAGAGCGTCAACCGATCACCCCGGGATCTGCCCCCGGCTTGCCTCCTCGTCTTCGCCCTCATCCTTCTCAAACAAAGGCAATCCACATCCACCGCCATTTTCCTCTTACCTCAAAAACCACCTCTTCGTCAAACTCTGGTGTCATCCTTCTCCGCCATGCCACCCGCCTCAGCACGATGGGAAATGAGGGCGGGGGAACTGGCGGGACCCAGGCGTCCACTTCGCGGATCCCGACTGTCCAGAAAACTACAATTCCCAGCATGCCTCGCAAATCACGCCCCCTTTTCAGGCACGCTTATTGGAGCAGAGGATGTTCTTGTAAAAGGGAGAGGCAGGAATGAAATGAAACTCGAGTTCTCTGATTGGAGGAGGCTGGACCTTTTGTCCGCCTTTTACAGCTGCAACCGGTAGGGGGCGCCTGGAGCACTGATTTTTTTTTTTTTTTTTTTTTTTGTTTGTTAAAGAAGCTTGGATAAGGCACGCGCCGGCGGAGGCGCGGCGAGCATTGCTCGTGCCCGCCGCCTGTGGATAGCGCCGGGATCTTTGCTGGGTCGGGAGTCCGGTGCATCCTTTGTGCGGCGCTTGGGTTGTGCGGTAGAACAGTAGGGCAAAATGTGGGCATAGCTGGAGCTCTGCTTTTCTGCCTAAAACTCTCGAAACAATGGACTGTAAGGGGAGCATGGATTGAGGGGGTCGAGCAGGGAAGCGAGCTGCCTGAGGGAATCATGACTTCTGCCGCGGGTAAGTGACGGCGCTCCCGCTGGAAAGTTTGTAGAGAGCGCTGTAGTCTTGGGTCCTGGAGCAGCTTTCTCCATGGGCTAGGTTAGCAGTGTTCCCTCTCCTTTTCCCGAGGACTGGCGAGTGCGGAGCAGACGGCATTTGCAGCCGCCTTTTCTTGTCCCTTCCTGCCAAGAGAGGCTGTTTGGAAATCGCATATCTCTTGGGACCTGCCTTTAAAAGGAGACCCGTGTCGGGGGCTCTGCGCCAGGTGAAACGCGAAATGTAAAAAGGACGTTTGCTTGTCTCCTAAAATTTGATCGACTTTGCCTTTGCGTGAGAAAATAGTTTAGATGACCATGTTAAGAAATCAGTTATTCTAAGAAAGGGCAGTGTTCCCAGAGTGTTGAGCTGGGCGATTGCTGAATTGCTTTAACCTAGTATCGACTAGGTTTAAAACCCTGACCCATATTATTTATTAGATTAAGAAGTTTCAACATTGTTACTTCTATTCTGGTGTTTTTTCCTGTTGCCAGAGAAGCAGAGGGATAGAATTGCCGATGGCAATTTTTTGCTTATCTCCACCCAATTTTTAATGTTTTTTTCTATTTCTACCTGTGTAGTGTAAACAAAGCCTTATTTTTCACTCTGCCACCGATAGCACTTTCCTTTCATACAAATGACAAAGTGTTTATCTTTGTGTGGATTTTGAGCAATTCTGTGCATTGCGTTTTCTCAACATTCTTAAGGAACAGGTCTCATATTCCAAAATAATTACTAAAGAGTTTTTAAATTTACTTTATAAGAACATAGGTTAATTTGTAAACCATGACGTAATGTATTAAGTACTACTTAGTTTCACCCACGAAACAAATAAACTTTCATTAGGAATTTTATAGTAAACTAGTAGAAAGTTTTGCCTCAAAGTTACTTCTGGAATCACCACTTAAGTATCATTAAATTTTCTTTGCTTTTCTTGGCATTTGTTTTAAATTTCTGCAATTTGAAACTGTCAGTAGCACTGTCAATGTTCTAAGTTGCCTTATTTCTAAAGCCTTGATGTATTGAAGTTTGCATTGCTAGGTGTAATCAGATTACAGGTGATACGCAAGAAGTTAGCTAATAGTCATAAGAAAGCAAAGAGTGAAGTACTTGTGTAGTAAGTAGCATTATTGAAGAAATTGTGGACCTTTCCTTTCTTGAGTTACATGTCTGTGTAGGAGGTGTCATCGTATGTTATTCATAAACTCTTTTTCTTACCAAAGGGAGGCGTTCTACTTGAGGTGAATTATTTTCATCTTAAATTTCTGTGCCTCACCTTTGTTCAGGTTTTCTTTATTACTGAGCTAGTCTAAATAATTTAAATTTAAAGTGGTTGGATTTAAATCCTTCCAGCCAAGGTTAGCTCTTCCTTCTTTTGGAGCGTCAAGCACATTTAAGATATTTATACCTTATATGCATCGGTTTTCAATTTCAGTCCTAACAGTTTATAATGAACAGTTACAGAAGCATTTAATTTGACATTGAAATTTGAAACCTGACCTAGGGTTCAGTTGGAAAGTTTATGATTTTGTTTAAGAATTTTATAGTAAAATTAGTGATTTTGATTTGTATTACCCTAGACTAATGCAAGCAATATTTATATTTTATCAATTTTACAATTAAAGATATCCACAGGCATTTTTGTGGTGTTCTAAGAGGGACACTTCCTGTGTTTAGCTGAGTTAGTTGGTTTTTAGCGCTGCTTGCTGAGAAGCATTAACTACTTTTTTGTTCACCATCTGTTAAGGTTTATTTTAATTCTTTTGCATGTCTACGTGGAAATATGAAAGAGAATTGGGTTTTATTTCCATCCCATTCTTATAAAATTACTTGTTTATCATTCTTACAAGCTATTTATGGTTTTTGAAACAATAATAAAATTCATTAAAACTTTAGGAAAGTTATTTGCAATTGGGGAATTGTTTATATCGATCTAATATGTGGCATTGGTATTTGGGATGGTTGACTTAATTTAAGGAAATAAGAGAAATATTGTAGAACATCTACGTTTTACGCATCCTGAAGAAGAGCTTGACTTGTTTTTCAGCATCTGTGAAAGAGTAGGACTGTAGTTGAGATTTTAGAATTATTCTAATCAGTATATTTAGAAGGAGAGGTACTTCTTCTATCCCTGTGAACTTGTACAGGTCACGGTCTCATCAATGCCTGTGCTTCCCTATACAGCTGGTTCAAGAGCTAACAAAGTGCGCATGTGAACCGCAGCCATCTGTGTGTAGCAGATGACAGTATGTTTGTAACATGTTAGTGAAATGGTAGTAGTGCTTTACTTTCTTACCTTGCTGTTCCCTGGAGCCAAACAGCTGTGTAAATAAAAAAATTGCTGCTTTGCTCTAAAAAGCACTGGGTCTGACTGTTGATACAGTATTAAGATCCTAAGGTGCTGGATTCATTTCCAAATATCATGTACTTCAAGAGTTTGACATTGGAGCAGGCCATAATATAATGCCTTGTTATTTTTTGAGTTGTGTTTCTTTCATGATAGAGCCACACACACACACACAAAATGGTAATTATTAAGATAATAATGAAGGATTTCAGATATTTCTGTACCAGTGACTTAGTTGAATACTTGTTCCTACTAATAATTAAGAACTTATTCAATAATCCTATTGAAAAGTTGATTCCTGCAACTCTTCAAAATATTCTACATTAAAATAGATATGGACTTTTAAAAAAGAAATTTCCTGTTACTAAGACTGAAGAGTAAGTAAGTGTATGTGGCCGTTCTGACATTCCCAGGGACCCATTTTCACCCTTGGGGGCATCACAATGAGGCAAAGTGCCTGTCCTTCTGGAGCTTGCTTTCTAGAGGTGGAGACTAAGTTATAATGAAGAAAAATCACACAGGGCAAAGGGGCTAGAGAATATAAGGATTCTCCTGGAGCAAATATCTCAGAAGGTGTAATTTCAGAATCATATAGGCTTTGCAGTTCTGTTCAGCTTCCTCATTTATAAGTAAGGAAAGTGAGGCAGCTAGATCTGCCACAAGACAAGTGGGTAGGTTAGCCAGTTCCCTAAGTTATGTTACTGGCTTCCTCTGGTATGTGGCTAACTAAAGTGGTGAGCCAAACTTCACAGCTATTTATGGAATTTAGTAAGTGTGCATTGAGGGCATTAGGTACATAATACTGGGCTACATTGGTTGGGAATCAACCATAGCTATATGTAATTAATTTGATTTCTAAGACACTAAAGAGAACAGGGATTTATGTCTGTTAGAAGCAGACCTAGGCACGAAACACATTTAAAGAAGAGTAAAATTGGTATAAGAGATTAAAAAACAGTTTAACTAAAAATAAAAAGTGGACTGGTTAAATGACCTGCAAGCCTCTGACAAAGCTGCAAGATTCAGACAGTAAGAGGTTAATTTGATGAAATAAGATTTTTTAAATTTTGGCAAAATACACATAATACAAATTTATTAACTTTATCATTTTTACGTGTCAGTTTGGTAATGTTAAGTACATTCACACTGCTATGCAGTCAATCTCCAGAACCCTTTTCATCTTGCAAAACTGATTCTCTTTTTATTCCTTCAAAAATTCCAGAGTTAGGACACTTTATGAATGGTTACAGAAATGCCCTGGCCAGTGTGGCTTACTTGGTTGGGCAGTATCCCCCAAACCTAAGGGTAGCAGATTTGATTCCGCTTTGGGACACATGCCTAGGTTATGCATTTGGGTTCCTCCGTGGGGGCAAGGAAGGCTACTGCTCAATGTTTCTCACATTGACCCTTCTCCTTTCTCTTTCCTTTTCTCTAAAACGTCTCTTCCTGCCTTTCTCTCCAAAAGCAAGGGGGGGGGATATCTTTGGGTGAAGATTAAAAAAAAAATGGTTACAGAAATGAAATCAGCATGACAAGAGTCTGTCAATTTTCATTATCTTGAGTAAGATGAGAGGTTTGGAGGAGGCCTAGGGCATTCATACTTCCTTTTAAGAATTGACTTAATGGATCAAGAGTTGAGTTGAGCCCTGGCTGGTGTAGTTCAGTGGACTGAGCACTAGACTGCGAACCAAAGGAGCGCCAGTTCGATTCCCAGTTAGGGCATGTGCCTGGGTTGCAGGCCAGGTCCCCGGCGTGGGGGGGATGGGGCGTGTGAGAAGCAACCACACATTGATGTTTTCTCTCTCTCCTTCTCCTTCCCTTCCCCTCTCTCTAAAAAATAAATAAAATCTTTTTTTTTTTAAGTTAAATTGAAGGGATTGTTATACAAGCTTTAGCATTAGGCTTCTAAGGGTTTTACATTTTTTCTGCTTAAAAAACATACACTGATACATGCTTCTTGAATAGATAACTGAATTGTAAAAAGCTTTGAGAATTTGTATTGTTATTTTGAAAATATTGTATTATTTACTTTATTTAGGATATTATATTGAGTGAGAAAGCATCTCTTATATGATTTTGATTAAACACATAATATTAGAGGTTTGGGAAATTCT